TTTCTCGTACTTATTTCTTTCATTTTTGCTTATTTTGGATCGCTTTTTTCTCATTTTTTACCTAAGTTTTAGTCATTTTGTAATCAATTTTCATCTTCTTTCTTTTTATTTTCGTAAATTTCAAGTTAGCTTTCTTGTATTTTGGGTCAAATCCCTAAACTTTCAATCTAATTTGTTGGGTCAAATTCTTAAACTTCTTATCTGATTTGTTACATTTTTACTGCCATTCAAGCTCCATTGGTAAGCTCTATTTCAAAATTGGCAATTATTAGTGTTTGACTATTCTTTTTTTTTTTTACCAATTTATTTCGTTATTGCAGTTTTGAGTCTGATTTTGTTTGGTTGGTGAGAAAAATTCAAGATATAATAGAAAGTGAAAGAAATAGGGTTTTTTTCTGAAAAACTTGAACTTAAATGTTGAATTTAGTTACAAACACAAATGAAATTTTAGGTTTAGTTTTTTTTTTTTTTTTTAAATTACTAAAAAATTGTTGCTTGTTAACATGAATTTGTTGATTCATTGAAGATATTCTTAAGAAAAGATTCTGAAATAGTCTGTTATGTTTTTTTTTTCATCTCATCTTGGCATTTTGTTTTGTTTGTATTTTCATATCATGGTGTTTGATGAAAACAACTTAATCTTAATTGAAAGGATTCGTTGTGTATGAAAATCATCAACAACAAAAGATGTTAATGACCAAGATGAAAAAAATCTTTCAACAAATGGTAGTGTTTCAAATCTATGCAATTATCAATTCCATACATTTTAAATTTTTGGTTAATGTGCTAAAATAATTTGAATGTTATTACATATATTAAACTTTATGTTCCATCCATATTAGAATAAATTATGTATTTATAATATTCAATTTTATGAATTTAACTTCATTTTTATTTTTTTAATATTTTTTTAATGATAATAATCAATATTAAAAGAAAATTCTTAAAAAATAAATTTTTTAATTTAGCAACCTTTGTACATAAAAATGACTATAAATGTCAAAATATAACGGTACTTTTTACTATAAACGCTACTAAATTTAGTGACATTTTTTACTATAAATGTCTCTAAATTTAGCATCATTTTATGATAAAAACACCTTTAAGTTAGTCACGTTTTTATAAAAATGTCGTTATTTTTTCAGACGCAAGTATAGGTGGTACTCTTAGCGACGTTTTGGGCAAATGCCACTAATCATTTAGTGGCATTTATAAAACACCGTTAAATGTGAAAAAAATTGTCATTAAAAATCTAATCTCTTGTAGTGAAAGTGAATTATATATTATTTAAATTGACTTTTTTTTTATTTATGAATTGTAACTTAAAAAAAAAATAAAAAAAATGAATTTGGAGATATGGTGAAGGAACAAAAAGTTTTATCTTATTTAAATATATTGAAAATTAATATTAAATACCAACTATATCAAATGCATATTTACTAAAATAATTATTGTAAAAACTCGTTGTAATAAAAGTAAAATAGAAAATGAATTGATAATATAATATCATTGGTACTTAATTGTGATGGTGTAAACGAATAAAACTTTCGATAAATTATTCGTAAATATGTTTAATTTTTATTAGTTTATTAAATTTAATAAATGATCATTAATAATATTTTATATTTATTTATTAAATAAATTGAATACGAATAGAAGTTTATTTAATTCGTTTGTATTTGTGATAAATTCTTTTAAAATTCATTTAAAATTTTTTTTGTTTATTTTTTATTTTTTATTTATTTATAATAATAATGATAAAATTACATTTTTATCTTTTATCATAATTTTTTTGTACGAAAAAATATGGTGGCGGAAATGGTATCACTATTCTGAGAGTGAAGTATCAATTATCTAATAACAGTGATCACCTAAGTTACCTCTTCTCCTAACGAAGGTTTTCTTTAAGTTTCGAAACCCTACTTTTGGTAAGTAAAGTCTACTTAGGGTCAAATTGCTTATCACTGAACCAACACCTCAATAATTTTTATCGTAATTTTATTTTAAGATTCATTTATATTCGTTTACAATTTAC